GCAGTATCTATAGGATACAGTGCACGTATTATCAGTTTCTGGTAATGTTTCTGGTAATGACTGATGAAGAATCCGCAACGTATGTCGAAGCGTCAAACGAATAAAAGTCTTGCCCCACCGATTGCGTCTTCTTCTTCTTCTCAATTACTTCCTGGGGCTCGTATGTTCACATATATTGGCAAGTCTCCCACCTCTCACCCTCTACGTCGGCACCGTCTATGAGCCTTCCCTGGTAGTTGTCCACAGCCCTGAACCCTCAACCGTTTCTTCCGCTGTCATGACGGTGTCACAGCTTTATTCTTGTATACTTAATTAAGGTATATTCTGATCACCGTCAGTTGAGCAATATTTTACTGAAAAGTATGAATGGTATTATTAAAATAAAGCGTATTTATTTCTCACGTGCGCTCTCTTGCTTATCCGAACGTAGCATCCCTCTAAGATGACTCATTCCTACCTATTACATTTATCGTTTCTGTGTATATTAATTTCCTTTATTCTACAAGTGCATCTTCTATCTGTCTCAAAATTCTTATCTCATATTCAGTCAAATGAGTGCGATGGAACATCTAAGCATTCGACTCAAATAATCTACACTAGGAACTATCCATTCATCCTTAACTGCGCTTGCTTTCCTCAATATCGCCAATCACTGCGCAGACTTCCTGCCCAAATACATGCTCTCTTTCTGAGCTGCAATGTCACCAACCTACTTTAACAAAATACTAACAATAATAAGCCCAGTGTATTCATGATATGCACATACTATCATGAGCTTCCGTCCTTAATCTGAATAACCATCTAACCCCTCTAACCGGTGGTCAAACTGGCTGATATTCGAACTCGTTGATGAACGGTCACCAACCACTAACGGAAATCAATTGTCCCGCTCTGCCTTGGCTCTCATTTCTCGGGCCCTGACAGCGGCCGTACTGGCTAGTAGTCTAGGCAGAGAGTATTGACGGCAAGGAAACTAGCCCGTGGTTCAGCGGTTAGAGCGTAAGACTGATCAAAAAGGTCGCGAGTCCAAGCCTTGGGCGGTGCACTATTTGGGTTTTGGTATGACTGGCTGACGAGGCCTTATACGTCAGAAACGGCCATTTCAGTCTCACTTGTCCTTACCGGCAATACTATCTGACTGGCATCTACTACGTCTGGCATAAAAACTACTGAAATGTGTTCGATTAATTTTCAGGATAAGGTCTGTTTTGTAGTAGTTCCCGACGTGTATTTTGGAGTAGAGGATCAGAATTTCGTGCGGTAAATTGGACTTGCAGATGACAGATAAGAAAACTTTATTATCCAATGGTTGTAACATAACTCTGCATAAATACCTCACCTGGGCAGCATCTTAGCAATAAGCACTTCTGTCTTGAGCTGTTCCTCTCGCAACTCGAGTGTCCTCTGGTTCACCTGATTTTCCAGAGCCGACGAGTACTCCTCCATTCTGGTCAGCATCCGGTCAACGATATCCAATTTCCTTGGCAAAGGAAAGATGTATAACGTTAGTTTTTTATCCACTCTGAAGACTGATAGTAACTCATATGCAGGGGTTATTTGAACGTCTCGCTACTATTGAATCAATATTTTAAGGCAAATGGACCTATCAAAACCTGTGGCCAGAATATGAAGATTTGTAAATCATTTTTCATAATCAGAAGGGCAGTTGGCGAGCATACGTATACTTTCGATAAATTCTCTTCGGGCCATTACATTA